GAAATCAAAATTGGAAAACTTGGAAGACCTGTCAAGGCAAGATGAATAATGTACCTACAGTCATTAAATGATTCTGACTGGCCCCCTAGAGACATGCATTAATAAAGTTAACTAAATAGGTTTGTGTTGTTGACTTTGTTGGTTTATGCTGGAAGTGTGATTAGCTTTATAGCTAGTTTGCAGGAACTCTACTTGAATAATTAGAAACAAATATATCAGTCATAGAATATAACAGGATTAAAGACCTTAACTAGCAGGAGGCAACCAGTAGGCTATTCAGAAGCATAGGCAAAAATCTGAACAATTAAAGCTCACCAAGTAGCATTAGCGCTGCCAAGAAACCTGAATACAGCTAACATGTTTATTAAGAGACAACAGTGGGAGATTCAGGAGTTTCACTGTTACTAGTAAAACATTAGAAAGTGTGGAAGAAGAAGTCCATCAATAACAGAACACCCCGGCCCACACACTTTTTGACAGAAAAGTTTGTATGCCATAATTTTCAGTTACTAAATGCAGCGCTAAATACTATTTTGCGATTTTGTGCATTATATAATGGCACCCGGCATATCAAATACAAAAAACTACTACATGTACCTTACTAACCACTACTACACTTGACTAAACTCCACCTACCCAAGTCAACTGTTCTCTTCTGTAAACTACTTTCAATTAAGTTACTGCTCCAACAATATTTTACTAAACCCAACTCTTACCGAATTCTTCTGTGCTAATCAACTCTATCCTGCTAGCAATTTATTATACTGCCTGCAACCACTCAGGTCAAAGTTCAAGTTCTTGTAGTTTTATTTTTAGTTCCCTTTTGCTGTTTGGAACTCGAATAGTTTAAGGTGAAAACGTCAAAGCAGAAGACGAGGGTTCAACTGTATTATAATTATACAGCTGAAAATGGCAATGAGTTGATGCTGCTCAGTGTCTTTTGCAAAATTTGATTGGAAATTAAAAGCGTACCATGAAGTTCGAAAAGAGCATTATGTATTTCAAATATGAAATAGGGCTCACTGATTGTCATGCCCTAAACATTTTGTTTTACTATCCCATCAAATAAAAAAAAGATCGCATTGAATAAACTCAACATGGGCTTTTTAAGTGTTCCAAATTTGGTTCCTTGATTAATTTTCAGTGTCAGTATCCTCCGTGTCAGAGTTTGAATTGTTACTGGTCGGTTTTGCTGGATCAAACTCCACTGCAACTTGAAATGGAGGGGATAAAAGAAAGAGAAGATGGCGAGAGGGGTGACAGTGAGTGATTATTTGAAGGAGGTAGTAATATTATTTTTAATATTTCCAACTAAGGGGGTGGTAAATTATTTGAGGGAGGCGATTAATCGAGGGACAGTTATCATTTGAGGAAATATGATACACAGATTTTAAAAGTGTTAAGTCAAACTGTTAGTTTTTGCCCGTTTAACGAAAAAGTGTTAGTATACGTTTTCCTAGAGAAGGTCGCATTACTCACTTCCACACATTTTATGGTTGTGGGTTTAGTACTCTAGGGTACTAGCAAATGTGAGGTTAAGATTTGTAGTGATCATTAAGTGGAAGTAGAGTGGATGCCCGTACGAAACTTGCAGCGCTGTACAGCTTAGGCTCGATTTCCACCGTCTCCCGGGTCCGGTCTTTGATCCTCCCCGAAGAGAGACGGCTGGACGCGTGACCCNGAAGATGGCGAGAGGGGTGACAGTGAGTGATTATTTGAAGGAGGTAGTAATATTATTTTTAATATTTCCAACTAAGGGGGTGGTAAATTATTTGAGGGAGGCGATTAATCGAGGGACAGTTATCATTTGAGGAAATATGATACACAGATTTTAAAAGTGTTAAGTCAAACTGTTAGTTTTTGCCCGTTTAACGAAAAAGTGTTAGTATACGTTTTCCTAGAGAAGGTCGCATTACTCACTTCCACACATTTTATGGTTGTGGGTTTAGTACTCTAGGGTACTAGCAAATGTGAGGTTAAGATTTGTAGTGATCATTAAGTGGAAGTAGAGTGGATGCCCGTACGAAACTTGCAGCGCTGTACAGCTTAGGCTCGATTTCCACCGTCTCCCGGGTCCGGTCTTTGATCCTCCCCGAAGAGAGACGGCTGGACGCGTGACCCGTTGACCTTGTCTGTGACGTAATTGGAAAATTGATAATTTACGCGTCTCCGACATCACTGGAAGTGAAACCGGTCTCCAATTTTCTTATTTATTTGGCTCAAAATTACATCAAGCGTTCCCTTACCCACCCAAATGACTTTCGAAATAGTTTTTTCGGTACATTTCCTTACATTTTGAAAAAGATTCTTCGGTACATTTCTGTACAGGGCGACATGTAGTTAATTTTCTTTGATCTTCGAATATTGGTTACGTCTTCGGTGGGTCCAAACTGACTGATTCTTGGAAGCGGAGCAAATTAAATGGAAAAGTTTCTGATTTACCAGACAAAATTTCCAGCGTATTGAATTTCCTCTGTCAAATATAAACATGGACGGTTACATCTGTAACGAACGCAGTTATCGAGACCTAAAGCGCCTTGAAAAGATCCTTGAAGATGCAAAATCTCTCCAACCACAATCATTCACAACAAACAATCGCACAAAACGTTGTGTTCCTTCGGACTCTAGAATTTTGCCCATGTCTCCGCGCCGTCGAAATCGCCTCGCCATGCGATGGGTCAAGGAAGCAGGGAAGGAAGGACTTTGTGTTTTGATGTGATAATTTCTGCGACAATCTTTGCCAGACGAAAATCTGCAGGCGGTAACATGATTGGCTTAAACCAACAAAGGAAATCGCACGCGTCCAGCCGCTCTTTCGGGGGATGAGTGTGGGCTCATTTTCCCGAACAGCGGCTGGTAATCGAGCCTATGTACAGCTCCACAAAATCGCTTCAAAATAGCTGTACAGCTAAATTACAGCTGTTCAGCAGCCTTTTAGAAGCCAAACAGCAGCTTTATTCAAGTTGCAGCGGGATGCAAAAGCGCTGTGCAGCCTTTGAAGGCTCTTTGAAGCTCTCGGCAGCGGTTTTGCAGCGCAGTTGCTGACCCATATGAAACGAGCAGGGCTGCTGCAGCGCTGCAGATTGGCTTCAAGAAGTGCTACAAAAGAGCTGTAAAAGCGCTGGGCTGCAGCAGTCGCAAATTTTGGCTGCAGTGGAAAGCCCTTTTACAGCGATAAACAGCGCTTTCGCAGCAGTGCAGAAAATTCCTGAATCACGATCTATGCTGCAAAGTGGCTGCAAAGTGGCTTTGAAAAGACAAAGAATGTTGTTACCGGTAATGGCCTATCACTCGTTAGTACAAAAAATAGAAATGCAGGCTCCAATAATATAATAATCATGATACATGGTAGAGGAGCTGACAAGGCCTACTTTCAAACGCTGGGAAGTAGCTGCAGTAATGCTACAATTCAGCTGTGGTTGATCTGACTTTCTTGAGCGCCAATAACACGAATCGTCAGATAAAGCCTTGGCACAGATTACGGCTTTTATAACGCGAAAACTTTGACTGTACCTCTAAGAAATGTGAGTAAGCTTGTGAGCAAGGGAGATCAGTTATTGAATAAGCCTCCAAATTCTATGCTTTCGGAATAAAGATTTCAATAAGTTTCATTCCGTGACCGGTGAGTGTGGGAATGTTTATCTAATTGGTCGGTCCTTTTGCATGAGATCCCATTACATCTCTAGACAAACACAATTCCCAAACATTTGCGACCGTTGAATGAAAGGCGCAAACATTCTAAGTTTTTTTGCATCTAGCTCTGTTTCGAGATGGAAGTGCTGTTGATGTTTTTGGATGGAACAGCTCAAACGTATTTGCAAACAACGCACTGAACAGTGACTTCTATGCTAAGTATCGATTAATCGAACCAGAGCAAGCAACACAGATACAAGAATCTCAGCTGAGGTTCGCACTTGCAAGATTCTTATACGCTCTTGGTAATTTACATTCCTTAGTCCATTGTAAAATTTAATGACGACCAAAGTAAAATTGGGTTGATTTCTTTCATGAAAAAAGTGTAGAAGATCATGGATCATGGACAAAATGTCAAGGTGAGCAATGTCCAGCTTTTAGCCCGTTGCAACGAATCAAAATATCATTTGGCTGCTGTCTGTGTAAACTTTATGTAGAACAATCACTGTTATTCTCTTTATTTTTAAAATAGATAATTTTCAATGTCTTCATGTTAATGGATGTTTTTACATTCAGATGAGCGACCGTGATTGCTAAATATTTACAACGCGAGACTGTTGCAGATTTGTTATATGCCACGTGCTTTTGTAACGTGTACGCCGTGGATACTAATAAAGTATAGGTTGCATTTTGACTTTCTAGTGGTTTTTACCCTGCTAATAAGGCCTTGTCAACTCCTCTACCATGTATCATGATTATTTTATTACTGGAGCCTGCATTTCTTTTTTTTGTACTAACGAGTGGTAGGCCATTACTGCATTACCAGTAACAACATTCTTTGTCTTTTCGAAGCCACTTTGCAGCCACTTTGCAGAGCAGATCGTGATTCGGGAATTTTCTTCACCGCTGTAAAAGCGCTGTTTATCGCTGTCAAAGGGCTTTCCACTGCAGCCAAAATTTGCGACTGCTGCAGCCCAGCGCTTTTACAGCTCTTTTGTAGCGCTTCTTGAAGCCATTCTGCAGCGCTGCAGCAGCGCTGCTCGTTTCGTACGGGTGCATCGTTCATCAGTAGAAAAGCTTACAGCTTGGTAGTGGTCTGTAGCTGGCTACTTAAACCGGTAGTTACATCTCTACGACTGAAAAAATCTTAATTAAACGTATTTGAAAGCTTGTCTTACCTTCAATAACCAGATCTGGGCGCAATTACCTTTCAAACCCGACCACAAAAAAGCACTCCTAAAGAATCTTCCAAACTTCCAAAGTGGTTTAAGTCCGACCCAGGCCTTCCACACGGATGAAAGGAAACGAGAAATCATGGACATGAAATCCCAGAAGCCTGTGCAACCTTAGCCACAATCCATTCCAACATGGCGCCTGTAGCCGAACCTAAGAAAGAGAAAGAAACTTCCGACAAGAAAGAGGACACGAAATCCAAAGATGGAACCAAGAAAGAAGAAGAGCCCGAGTTGGTAAGCACATTTCATTAGCTTTTTACAAACGTCTTTTGGGGTTTCGCTGAAAAATACGACAAAGCCTTAACTTTTGACAATGACTCATCATGACCAAGTTTTCCTCGCACAGCACAACGTGAATTTTCTTTTTCAGTTATAAAAAAAGGTTTCCTTTTTCATTCTTTCAGAGCGAAGAGGATAGACAGCTTCAAGAGGAGTTAACAATGCTGGTCGAAAGGTTGTCGGTAGGTATTTTACGAAGATACTTTGTGAGAAGTCCCTTTCGGCAAATTCCGTACAGTATGTGGCCCTCGGTCCGCCTTGTCCAGGTTGGTCCACGACTTTTCCGAAAATGACAAAATATTTCGTAGAGAAAAAAATGCGGAGGAAAATGAAAGATCCTGTGATTTTCTGATTAGCAATCCTTTCATATGACGAAGTGTCGGCTTTCTTGCTGTGGGCGAAGGCGAGAAATTATAGTTTGTTGACAGGTACAGTCGAACCTTTATTAAGCGGCACCGTAATAAGCGGTCACCCTCTATTAAACGGTCAGTTTTCAAAATCCCGAAACTTACTTCCCTTGATGTTCTGTAATCTCGAGCTCTATTAAGCGGTCACCTTTTTTAAGCGGTTGCAGTCACCATTTGCAAAGTCCCAATGTACGGGACTTTTTCTGTTGTCTTGACCTGTATTAAACAGTCACACGGTGTCAATTATAATTTTGTTCATACAGTTTTAAATAATGTAACATGCGAGGTACAACAATTGATTTCGGTGTTTATTTTTGCAAGCCGTTAAAACGCCAGAAATGAATGTTTCTATTTGAGGTGAAACGTCTGATCTGATCAGCACTGGAGATCTAATTCTTTGAACTGTATTTCTTGCAACCTGTATTAGGCAGTCACCCTGTATTAAGCGGTCATTTAGCTTCTCCCCGAGGGTAACCGCTTAATACAGGTTCCACTGTAGGTTAATTTGTCTTTCTTGAAGTTTGGGCTTTTGCAGTACCGTAAATTACAGTACCGTTCAAAAGTAAGTTGACAGTCCGTTGCGAGTCTCGCTTCTCGACTCGATTCGCGATTCTTGATTGCTGTGTGAATCGAGAATCGAGAACAAGCTATAGAGAATCGCGTCGAGAATCAAGTCTCGCAGGACAGAAATTAAAAGATTCACCCATGACTGATTTGTCGATAATTTTTCAAAGACATTCAGCTGTAACGTAATGCGGCATGGCTACATTCGCGCAAGCAACTGTATGCTCAAAACAAGGCCAATTCAAGTTATAAAGGGAATGCTTCTTCTAGGACATCTGTATCAAGCTTCATTTCCTCAACTAAAGTTTCAAATACCTGCTCCAGATGCAAACAAACAGTGTATTACGCACGTACAAGCAACAGCATGTTTATTTTGGGCTTATACGGCCGCTTGGCTTGACAAAGATCAGCTGTAACATAGACGTCGGCCGCTTGGCTTGATAAAGATCAGCTGTAACATACACGTCCGTCCTTGACATGACTAGTCTTTTGCTCTGAAATTGTGTTGGTGATCCTTGAAAACTTTCGAGAAACAATGGTTTTAATTGTACTAGGAAAAAGCGCTTTCTTAGTTTGAGGTAATTGCTCGTAAAATTGGGCTGCTTTTTTCCGGGATGGAACATGATACGCATGAACTTTTTTGTTGCTTAGCACGTGACTGCAGCTACCGTCAGGTGATGAAAAATTGCACGAGCGGTTTGTATTACACGCTACTAAAAATTGTTTTCAAAGCTCTTTTATGTATGCAATCACGTCTCATAAAAAGCAAAGGGTGGAATATCAAACTAAGATGCTTTCGCGTATGCGTATCGCAAAGACATCAATTCCGGTCAAGAGGTCAAATTTCAAGCAGAATTAATTACAAGTAAAGTTTCCATGAGCAGACATTCTGAACTGCGGTAATGCCGATGGGCATTTGCAAACAGGCAATCGAAAAAAAATCGGCAAGTAGAATTCGAAAGACAAGCCGAAGAACAAAAGCAACAAGACTTTGTTTACACATCGCGTATTAAACATTTATTTACACTTTACACAAGCTTCCTTTTATTTTGTATTTTAAAGACAAAAAGTCATGGATTGCTTTTCAAGTTCAACTGGTGAACTGGCAACTTTTGCTATTTAAATAACTGAAAATGCCGTTCAAACAATTTAAAGGTTTCAACGCAAAGTATCACCCGAGCCATGCAAACGAATGCAAATTTCCTGAAGAGTTGTTCCCGAGAGAGTTGTCAACTGCTATTTGCATAGTTCAGGAATTTCTCGCAAGAATCAAACGCTGAGTAGAGTTTGTTGTTTTATAGAGTACAAAGATTTTTCTGACGTGGGAGAAGTTAGAAGATTATTCAAAACTTGAACAAAGGTTGTTACTTGTAGATTCTTGCAACAGTCGAGTATTGAGAGTAGAGAGTGAATTACTCGAAACTAAATAGAGGCGGTTCCAGTTTGATGAGTCTCGCAGGAATCGAGAATCGCAAATCAAGAAGCAACAATCGAGAATCGAGTCTCAATTCTTGATTCGATTCTCTATTCTCGATTCTCGCGAGGATCGAGAATCGAGTGTCAACTCACTTTTGAATGGTACTGTACATGGTCATGTTTACTTAGCTTGTGAATAAAAAAAATGCAACAGAAAGATGTGCCTTTTGCAGAACAGGTTTTCAGATCAACCTATTTCCGCTGTTGAAAGCATATTGCTGCAGACTGTGAGAATCTTTTTTTATCGACTCTCGAAAAAAATCACCAAATGTTGCATAGTGGTCCTTGGTCCTCGACCTATGACCTTGGTTGAATAAAAAATAAAAAGAGCAGCCCTTGTTTTCGAAAAATGTTTTGAAAATCTTCCCTATACATGTCTACAAGTTCTCTTTTTTTTAATACCTCGAAAACATATGCATACAGAATTTGAAGTAATTATTTTTGAACGTGCTGAAAACCACTTGTGTGGGAGACTCAAGGGAGACTGTTGTCTGAAGTCTTTGAAAGAAAAGCAGATTATGTTATACTCACAACATCTTCAAAAAAAAAACTATAGCTTTAATGCACCAAGAATGGAAAAAGTACATGAAATGTTGTGAAAATCACATTTTCGTGTGGAAACTATCTCATTTTTATGTTTTTTTTTATGCTGTTTACCTTGGTCGTGGACCAAGGACAACATTCGTGGATTATCATTCAGCAGTTCACAATAAAAGTACCAGTTAAAACAGCCAAAGAATCAATAAGTGCTGCTCTTGATTAAGCAATGCCTCTTTCTTTATTAGAGGCAACAGCTTCACAATCTTCATGAATGTGGTTCCTAGATTACAGTTGTAGAATGATCACTGCAATATTATTTGACAGATAGCAGAATAGCATTTCAAATTTTATAGCAGGTCATAGTAAGACATCGATAGTCTAGGAGAAACAAACTAGAGCATTCCCACATTTCTTAATTAAATAATATTATTATTCAACAGGAATCCAATGTATCATTACACAAACCAGCACTGGAAGCCCTTAGATCACAAATCAGAGCAAGCACAAGCTCAATGACATCAGTTCCTAAACCACTGAAATATCTCAGACCACATTTTGCTACGCTGAAAGAGATTTATGTCGAGTGCGGTGATGGTGAAAATAAGGTACTTTGTAACTGTGATCTTTATTTTTTTTATTTAGGGAATGGGCAGGAATGGGACTCATATGTCCGATGCGAGTTGCCATCCCTACGCTATCCCACAACCTGTAAAGGTTGGCCACACCACTGGGTTTTGTCCTCTACTAGCGTTGTCACAAATTTCTTCTTTTGTCTTGTAAGCTCTCATGCTTAAAGCAAGTAATTTATAATGCACAGTGTGTAACAATCAGAATCTTTTTGTTGGCAGCATTACAGTATACTGAAATTAAAATATAGTCACTCTATTTTAAAGTACAACAAGGGCTAAAAGAAATACAACAGCCATATTAACTGCCACAGAAGTTACATGAACAGGATATTTATACAAATACATGTACATACATGTTCAGATTGATCGAGTGATCGATTGATCTTTGTGTCCTATGGGATGTATGCCATGAATTATTTTGCGTCTTTGGGGATTTTTATGTGGCAGGGACACAGGACGTAGAGGTAACAAAATCACTGGTGCTATAAATATCAGTTGCCAAGGGTAAATAACGGAAATTATTTTATATAAATAATCTTTGCACAATGTGGTCACATGGTACAAAAGACACCTTGCTGGATGGCGAACAATGTGGTATGACCATGACAAGAAAGGATCTTAGCTTTTTGATTGATATAATCTTTTTGTTTTTACAGTTTTTCTTGCCCCTTTGCATAGTTTACCATCCGTCAAGGTGTTATTTTGTACCATGTGACAGTTCTGTGTAATGGTCCCATTATGTGGTGGTTCAATTTATCTTTTTTTATTATTCCTTTTTTTTCTTTGTATTGGGGTAAAGTAATGTTTGGCGATGCATTTCAGTTCAATAATGCTGAGTGTATAGCTACTCCTACATGTATGCAGAGAAAAAAAAAACAAGGTAGTTGTTTGTTCTACGTTGTAGCGATTCTTGGCTGACATCATCTCAGTTCTGGGAATGACGATTAGTGAAGGTCGTGAATGTCTGAAATTCAGGATGCTTGGGTCCAAAGAAGAACTAGAATCATGGGGACATGAATATGTCAGGTCAGGGTTAAAACTACTCTGTATTATAATCCTTCAACCCTCTAAGCCCCCCTATTCACAACAAATTCTTAAGACTGATCTCTTAAACATTCCTTAAAGAATTAGTGGAGTGAATTTGATAAAAGATCAAAGTATTTCCCCTAGGTGATCATTTGCTTCTCATGGGAGTGTGATGGTTACAGCTGCATTAACTCTAGTATAGACTAGATGCAAGTACCTTGGTACATATACACCCTGCTATCTCTGGTGATATAAACTAGATGTACTTCTGTACAGTACACATGTAAAATTTTCCAATTTTCAATTGAAGCATTAGAGAATAATAACAAAAAGCAGTCAGCTAGTCAAGACTGCACCAAGAAAAAGGAAAAAAATTACTGAACTTATCTATAGCAAACGCAGTCTTAAAATTAATTCTGTTTCTGTCCAAAATTTAACGAACACTGTTAGTTCCATGTATTAACCAGGTATAATCCAAGGCATGTTACATGTTTCAATAAAGCATGTTTTCCCATTTTGGGCCCAAACTTTGCATCTTCTCTCAAAGGTGGGCTTTTCCTTGTAATATTCCCTTCTGTTTGATCTAACATGAGCCTGAGGAGCATACATGTATTATTAAGTGTACGCCAAGTCATAATTCTGTTTTGCTGAGAAAACAGGAGCTTTGGATATCCCCATATACCCAGGAGAAGGCAGTCTGGTCAGGAAAACTGGTGAAGAGAAAATTTTTCAGGCACAGCATGAAGAGCCTAGCCATGTTTAAAAAAATTGTTGTACAGTTCCTCTCAATATGATTGACTGCCCCAGGGTTTCTAAGGCTGGGCTTTAGGAAGCTTTGCAAAGGATTTGAATATTAATATTGTCACATCAAATTTTAACCGTATAAATTAAGACTTGAATTCCCTCTCAATACCACTGATAAATTTCTGAGGGGCTTGTTTTTAATTTCCCCTTTTTGAACCACAAAAAATTAGGGGGTCAAGCATTTGTTTTGGAACTATCATTTTATTTCGTCAAATCCACAGACACTTGGCCGAGGAGATACGTGGAGAATATAGTGAGAGAATGGACAAGGGGGAAACAGTAGAAGACCTGGTTAATCTTGCTAAAGAAATAATACCATACAACATGCAGCACAATGCGGAGACTGAGGCATGTGACTTGCTGATGGAGATTGAACGTCTGGATTTACTTGAACAATATGTTGACAAAAGAAGCTTTCAGCGAGTATGTCTCTATCTCACAAGGTCAGTTTCTTTTTTATCTTCTTAATTCCGGGTTGTATTGTTGTCACCAGACATTGAATTTTCACAATCTGAAGAACTAAATTTTATTAGATNTTGTACAACCTTTCATGTTTACATTACGCACGCGGCCGATTAACACATCGATAAACTTGGGAAGAGTGAAATAATTATTGTAACGTTGCTATGAATTATAGTCCCTTTGCAGTACACTGCTTTTGATAATATTTATTCCGCTTAAGGAATTAATTTATACGCAGGGACAAATGTACAACTTGAAAATTACTAATAAAAGTGGAAATATTTGGTAATTTTGTGACCGGAAGTGGGCGAATCCCGATGTCTGTTTCGATGCGCGAATTGTAAACAACGGCTCTAGTTGCATGTCACCAGGATTTCATATCAAAGTTCCGCAATACACAGCGACTCGATAAATAACAACTGAAACAACTGAACAGCAGGAACCTTAAATTTATTTCATTTTCAATACGATTGAATTTTGACCGGTCAACATGACCGGCAAGACGAAAGTTTGACCGGTCAAATCCACAATCAGTCCGGACATTGTCCGTTGACCGGCCGTTATTTCGAGCCCTGCTTCTTAATTCGGGGTTGTATTGTTGTCACCAGACATTGAATTTTCACAATCTGAAGAACTAAATTTTATTAGATGCATAACTTATGACATCTCACTTGGCTTAATACAAAGAAGCAAATTACAGAAATGTGGAGCAACAAAATAATGTAAATGACGTTTCATGCAGACTGTTTTTCTCACTTTTACTTAAGAAAAACAATCGACACTAACTATCAGTAACTGCAAAATACTGATCATCAAATTGGTAACGTGCTGCAACTTTAGGTGCCTCTTTTTTTCACTCATCTTTGCAAACAAAATGGTCACAGCTTGGAGCACTGGCTTTTTGCTCTTTGCAGTGGCTCTTTATTTATTGAAGGGTTACAGTGATAGAGTGTAAATGCTTTACTCCATCTAATGTTGAATTTTCAACCACAATCTTTTGCTTGAATTTCCTGAATTTTTGGTACCTTTGAAGTTTTGTGTGAAAGATTTTGAAATTAATTATAATAGTAATGGTTTCAAGTTATATATACTAGAGGATTTTACTTTGAGTTGGAAATTCTTTCAGAGGAATGGAATCTGCTCTTGTACGCTACATGTATTATTTTTCTGTTTTTTCATCTCTAACATAACCATTTATTTCCTCTCTTAGCTGTGTAAGTTATGTACCAGAACCAGAGGATAGCACACTTTTGAAGACAGCACTAAATATATTTAGAAAGTTTGATCATCAACCAGAGGCCATGAAGTTAGCTATCCAACTAAATGATGTGGAGCTCATCAAAGACATTTTTGTCTCTTGCACAGGAAGGTACAGTACTATGATCCAGTCATCCATTACAGTGTATATTACCGTGGTATGCCAGAGTTTAAAATAATTTTATATGAACCATAAAAAGAATTTGGTTACTGTACAGACAATGTTACTCGTTGTTAGTCACCATACATGTACACTAATGCCATACACTGTAGGTTGTGAAGTACATTTGTAGATCAGACATAATATTGATTGGCCAGTGGAAGCAGTTTTTCCTAAGGGGTGAGTTCCTTTGTAAGGATCCAGATCAGAAGTATGATGCAAGATCACTCACATCATAGCACATCATCAAAGATACCAACAAATCCTTTTCCCGATGGGTTTTAGCACTTCCTTTAATGAATGAAGATCTGAACTATCTTGGATCATAATTCCCACTCTGGATTGTCCTAGAGGATTTCACCCCTGATACATGCATCCTGATGTAAAGACAGAAGTCAGTTGTAAAGAATTAAGCTCATTTGAGTTTTTTTAGACTGATTTTGAGGTGGCTGGATTTTGGATGAAGCACCCTTTCGCTTGCTTTATTTGAGTTCTCAAATACACAATAATCCTTTATGAAATTCAAAGCGTAAGTATGGCTAAAGTAAACAAAATGTTTTAGTAATTCGTTTTGGGTATCCAAAGCTTCTTCACAGCCAAGGTTTCCTTATTTCCTCCTCTTCATGGATTGTTCATGAGTTCATTGTCAACACCAAAAATGCCTTAAACGTTCAACATGTGGATAAGACAAGGGTAACCACAAAGGTTGTTTTCTTCTCTGCTTTTTTTCAGTGATGACAAAAAATTAATACAGAAACAAATGGCATTTATGTTGGCAAGGCAACAAATCTACCTGGAACTGGATGAGAGCATGGATGATTATGATGACTTGGCAGAAATAATGTCCAATGCACATCTGAACAACAACTTTCTTAGCCTTGCTAGGGAGGTAAGATAATAATTATTTTAATCTTTTGCATGGGTTCTAATTTTGAGAAACAGACCATGACAACTGCAGAGTTAAAAGATTAATTTTCTCTTTCCTTTTGAAGCCAGTTTGATTTGATTTGAGTCTCATTTTTTTTAGCATACGTGGGATCACTTTGTGCTATACAAAGGTGATGTCACACGAGATGATTTGCAGCAACACTTTAAAGCGCAATGAAGCTTTCCAGTGTTGGAACGATGTTGTAACATTCAAAACAATGTCACAACAATGTTGTAAATAATGCCAGGTTTTGCTAAAAATCGTTGTTTAACATCACCTTTAATAATAGTATTGCAGTACTTCTGCTGTCCAGGGATGTTTATTTTCAAAATAGCAAGTATACAATGAAGAACACAAGCCGAACCAAACAAAAAACTGTGATAGGCATGCTGTATTTCTCAGAAATTATCAATGTTACAAGACTTTCAGTTCTTTCCTTGTCATATCCTTTCATGGGGTTCCATTTGAAAACCCTACCATTGGATGATTACCATGAATAAACTTTTTTCACATTAACTGAATGATCTCTCGCTCAACTGAAATGGATGTCAAGAACTGTCAACAAATGTTCTTGGAAAAAAAAAAACAAGTTAAAAACACTTTTCCATGGTCTATAGTCTTATCCGCCCTAAAAACAACGTGAAAATGTTCAAAACTTTCAAGTAAAACCACTTGCATGTGGTTCATGGTTCACTATTGACAGTAGTCAGAGTTATTATAGGCAGCACTTTCCTTTCAGTCATTTTAAGACCCTGAGTATTGCTCCAGATGAGAATCAAACTCGCCCAAACTACCTTAAAGTGTGGTACCAGCTGAGCTAACTATAGCCTTAAGTTAAGTGAAACCCCGTTAATACGGACACAGGTGGCGGCATAAAAAGTGTCCTTATTAACAGGTTGTCCATATTAAGCGGCTAAAATTTAGAGAAAATGTAAGCGCTTTTCTTTACCATGGACAAAGCAAACTGTCTGTGACAATGAGGTGTCCATATGAATGGATAATTTTCTGCTAAATTTATTAAAGCATATTACTCTGAAAATTGTTACTTTGCTCAACTAAAATTTGCATTGAAACTATCAACCATGAAAGAGTGAGTCCTGATGTGTGAATTTTATACCTTTTTACAGTTGGATATCATGGAACCCAAAGTACCTGAAGATATTTATAAAACACATCTTGAAAACAAAGGTAATTATCACCTTGTCACTTGATAGGCATTTTTATTACTATTTCTTAGAAAAGATTATGATTATTTGTGTATTAAGTTCCCATCCATTTTCAACATAAACTGTAAATACTATAGTACACTTGCATGAACATGGTTTTATTAATTTTTAAATTGAGTGCTTATATAACTAAAGTTATTTTGTTGTGTACTCTTGAAAACCAAACTACATAAACTATAATCCGTGACATTAGAACTTAATTTAGGTCAAGTGAAGCAAAAATGTTGCCATGTTGTGCTCGACCTCCTTTTCCCTGTCGCTTTCAATGTTGGCCTCGAACTTGGACAATTCCACCGAAGAAACCATTACAAAACAACATTGGAAGAGAAAAAGACAGGTATCAGAGCATTATGACCCAAGTTGAGTGTCCTTGGTTGCAGAATGATACTGTAAGTTAGCTTTTATCAAAAGCTGTAGACTTAGCTTCTGGAGAGATACAAAATAATGTCTATTTTTTTTAATGTTCAGGGGTTTCAAGTGGTGTGGCCCTGGACTCTGCTAGACAAAATTTAGCTTCTTCATTCGTGAATTCTTTTGTTAATGCTGCTTTTGGTACTGACAAGTTATTGACAGAAGATGGAAATAAGTGGATTTACAAAAACAAAGAGCATGGTAAGCAAAAGAGACATTTGATACAGTGTGGATAGGATGGTGAGACCTTCAGGTCATAGGTTATAACATCAACAAAAACAAAAATCGCCAAGTGCAAAAAGATATGTGCATATTATACTAGATGCTCCTTTTTTTGGCTAGAACGCTGCCACTATTGCCTTTTTAGTGGCTACATTCTTTGATTGTTGTTTTTTTTAAAGGGGGCTTTGTCATGCTATTTGTTATCTTTTTGAAGAGTTAACACGTTTCTGTTCACCAATTGAATTCCAAAAACATTGAGCCCGTGTTTTGTTATTTAAGACTATTTTTAGGTATTGAAACTGTTGTGGTGGATGGCAAGGATACACATGGATTGAAACTGGATAAAATTGGGCCAATTTGTCCAAGTTTCAATGCTATGGCGGCAAAAATAATCAAAAATTAATCATGATTAGTGCTTCTTGAAGAATTTTTTTGTGTCTTCTTCATAGCTCTACACGAGTTGAGTGTAAAGGCACTAAATGTGATTAAAAAATTAATTAATAATATTAATAAATTAATAAATAAATAATGATTTGGAGGTAGCACATCCACAAAGTGGTTCTTCGTCTACCTGATTCGTGGTTGAATTGGAATTTGAAAATGTTGGTTTTTGAGGAGAGGGGAAAACCGGACTACCCGGAGAAAAACCTCTTGGAGCAAAGGGGAGAACCAACAACAAACTCAACCCACATATGGCATCGACGCCCGGATTTGAACCCGGGCCACTTTGGTGGGAGGCGAGCACTCTCACCACTGCGCCATCCCTTACCCCCAAACTTGAGCACTGACTTGACTTAAAACAGCGATATCCTCTTGACCTGGCCCCTATAAATTCTCTGAATTTGTGCATTTTAGGCATGATGAGTACAACCGCTTCTTTGGGGCTCATTTTGTTATGGGATGTTGATGCAGGACTCACACAGATTGACAAATATTTATACTCAACAGAAGACTATATTAAGGTAGTGTACATTAAAAGCAGTATGTTCACTAAAAATCAAGGTCTACTTACAATACATTTACGGTATTGATTTTTGATTAAAATTTATGAGCTGGGTGTTAAACACAAAGTAATGTATCAGTGTTTTAAGATGTTAAATAATTAAAATTTATTTCACTGCAAAAGACAGGTTTGCTGACTTTTTTCTTTCTTTTTTTTTTTTTTGGTCACAATCTAATCAAGCTCAACCTCTACTTGTCTCATAACTGTTAACAATATTTCCTGCATGGAAAGTGCATTGTTCTTTCGACTCACAGTAGCTCACTTCGTGTTTTGTGTGATCTATAATAATCATAGTTTTGAAAACCAACCACAAATTGCATGTGTTGTCCAGATGCTTGCTTTTAAAACAGTCAAATTGCTTGCTTCCTGTTTAGCTGTTGCTTTGCTTTAGTTCTTACCTTTTCTTTAGATGTTCATGTTAGTTGGACAGCTACTTGAGTTAAAGCAGATATTTAACAATAATATTGAATGAGGCTGTGTAGGATGTGAAAAATTATGCAGATCGAGGGGATGTTATCGGCCGAGGGTGAATTAGGCCGCGGTGGATAACACCCTCTGAGATCTGCATAATTCATTACATCATACGAAAGTCTAATTCAATAATCGTTTTATTATATCATTCCAAATATTTTGAAGGTCTTAACAAGCTTATCTTGTCGTAGACTTTTATTATTTTATTATTGTGTTTACATTTTTAATATTACTTACCTTATGTACCCCCCCTGCCCCACCCGAGATACAAGTGGGTTTTCGTACACTAAGTGTCTATTCTTGTTAGGCTGGTGCGCTATTGGCTTGTGGTATTGTGAACTCTGGAGTGAAGAATGAATGCGACCCAGCCCTTGCTTTGCTATCAGACTATGTTCTACACAATAATAATATCATGAGACTTGGATCTGTCGTTGGGTGAGTGAATATCCTTGGTTTATAATCATCGTACATGTATGATCTGCTTTTAGTAATTCTTATTGATTGCCCGCTACGACTTGAATTAGCACCTCTACATGTACCTTGCTTTCAAGAGTCCCAGATCTGATTATTGGGCTGGGTGTGGCAAAGCCCAACCTGATCCGGAAGAAGTAAAAAACACTTTTTTTTCAGATTGACCTGGAGAGAGATGAGTTGAATTGTTTTTGCTCCAACGAGTCCTTTGTAGTTCAGTAGTAGAGCATCTGCTCTAGTAACTAGAAGGTCACAGGTTTGACTCCTGTTGGGTGAAATCAGATTCATTTTTGTCTGTGTCACTGACGGAAAAAAAAGTCTCGTTACTTTTGTTTCTTTGTTTGTTTTTTCTAGGCTTGGTCTAGCGTATGCAGGTTCTAACAGACAAGACGTGTTGTCTCTAATTCTTCCTGTTCTAGCTGATCCAAAGTCAAACCTAGAGGTGAGGATATTTAGTTTTACATTCATAGCTGGTCGGGATCGTTTATAAAATAATCACACTGTTTTTCAGGTTATCGGTATGGCAGCAATCGCTTGCGGTTTGGTTGCTATAGGAACATGTAATGGTGATGTGACGTCAACCATTCTTCAGACAATGATGGAACGATCGGAAGCGGAAGTCAAAGAAACGAATTCTCGTAACTTGGCACTAGGACTTGGGCTGACCTTCCTAGGTAAGATGCATGTTTGATTGAAGGCAAAGCTGAGAAGTAACATTTCTTCAACACATCAACCCATTCACACCTGAGCTGCCCCTAACCACCCTTGTCGAATTCCCTTTTCCTGCTTGTGACGTTGTTTGAAAATCCGTAAATAACTTTGGCACCCAACTTCTGCTGGGTTGGAGGGGAGGGGGTGGGGAAAGAGTTTTCAATTTCAAACCGTATCCCAATAAGCATGATTCAATCCAACAGACCTAAAAAAGGGCAGGAAAAAAATTGCAAAGTACTTCCTTTAAAATAATTTCATGATCATTGGGTTCTTCGTGAAAACGTTTCGTATCGAAATGAAACAAAGTAAATCCCCAGCAAAGAAAAGGTAAGGAGAAAGAGAAGAAAGAGGCGGGAAGGTGAGAAGGCGCGGTTAAACATCTAGGAGGCAGTGTCACTTTTACATCTCGAAACTTGGCCTTCCGCGCATGTAATTTAGCATCAAGAACAGAAGGCAGCGAAGTACTCTACTTGTACTCTACCGCGGCAGGATAAACTCAGTCAGTAGAGTGCTTGACTGTAGAACGGTTTCGATTGCCGGGGCCGGACAGATACTCAAGGTCTTAAGATTATTGAGAAATGAAAGTACAGCCTTTGCCCTGCAAAGTTCGAGACTATAAATAACGTTTTCGGACTTTTTTGGTTCATTTTTGTGCAGATAGTGACCAGAAAGCCGCTCGAACAGCTTCAAACGCAGCTCTTGCGGCAAAGGAGAAATTTTATGGTCACTGATAGCATCGCGTTTCTAAATCCTTTCTGTTTCGAGTTTAGGATTAACAGTAATTCGCTAACACGCAGTGTTTGTGACTTTGTCACTACCCTTGACGTTGCAGTTGAAGCTTTTGGTTTGTGTTTTCAGGGAAACAAGAAGCAGCAGAAGCTACTCTAGAGGCTCTGAAAGTCGTACCTGAACCGCTTGGAAAGTGGGCTTCTATCTTGGTGGAAATCTGTGCTTACGCTGGTGAGTCTCACCCATTTAAGTTGTTTTGAAAAATCGATAAATTGTACACAAATTGTTGAATTGACTAACTTACTTGTGGAGGAAAGTTTCATAATTCATAACACAGGAGAACGTTTAAACTGTTTTTTTTGTTTTTGTTTGTGTGTTTGTTTTTTTAAAGTTAACGTGGAACGTATTTTAAGGACCCTCAAAACTGAGCCATTATAATTCACTTTCCAAGTTCAGGGTCAGATTGTAACTTTGTTTCGGGTGTGTCCTCCTAGCCTGTGTAGCAAGCGTCAGCAAAGAAAGACCGAGGAACGGGATTTTCGGTTCTGGCCGCGCGAAAAACTCGTTCCTCGTTCCTTGCTCCGAAACCAAACGGAAACGCCAAATTTGTAAATCACTGTTGTTTGAAGGTACTGGAAACGTTCTGAAAATCCAAGAGATGCTACACATCTGCAGTGAACACTTTGAACAGAAAGACGAAGAAGAGAAGGAGAAAGATTCCAAAGATAAAGACAAAGATAAAGATAAGAAGGCTGAGAAGTCAGATGATGGCAGTCATCAGGGTGTGGCAGTGTTAGGTATCGCTTTAATGGCCATGGGTGAGGAGATTGGTGCTCAGATGGTGCTCAGAACATGTAATCATTTGGTATGTATCCAGGACAAGTCACCCTTTAAAACTTTTCTATCGTCTTATTTTGCTTGTCAAAAACAACAACAATCATAAAACGTCTCATACCTCTCTTTTGCGCACCAATTCAAGCTCTGTTGGATTGTTGATAGTATTCTTTGACCTTATTAAACTTTAATAAGGTCAAAGAATACTATCAGCAAGGAACGCGGGGCCATAAAAGCGTATTTTAAACTTCGTGGGCAGTGGGGTGAAAGGAAGTGCGATTTTTTCAGTCTTTTGTTTGCTGTTCCCTTTCAGTGTTTCGATCGTCATCTGAAAATTGTCTTTTTATAGATTTAAATCACACAAGTAAACAGCGCGTTCATGTTAGAGAACTTACGCACCAAGCGCGAGAATTTTGCTTGAAAAATGCAATAAATTATTTCAGCAAGGGTCGGGGGCATAGAACCGTCTTTTAAACTTCGTGGGCAGTGAGGTGAAAGGAGGTGCGATTTTTTCAGTCTTTTGTTTGCTGTTCCTTTTCAATATATTAATCGTCATCTGAAAATGAGCTTTCTTTTGTTTGATTTAAATCACACAAGTAAACAGCGCGTTCATATTAGAGAAGTTACGCTCCAAGCGCGAGAATTTTGCTTGAAGAGAGCAATAAATTATATCAGTTTAAAAGGGTCGGGGGCACAGAACCGTGTTTTAAGCCTCGCTGGCAGTGAGGTGAAAGGTGTTATTTTGTTCCTTTATTGTTTACTTACGCTCTTCAATGCATTCAATGGGATGTGATTTTTATTCAAAGAAGTTAATTCTTGTTCAAACAAACGACTGTAAAATATAACCGTCATTTACATGAAGAATAAAATTTCCTGGCGCAGAATTCAAACAGTGCCAACTCGGCAACAGAATATAAGCAAGCTGTTAAAACCACTGATCAGAGCGCCGCGCTCAAACCACCTCCTTCGATTCAATCCGTGGTTAAAGTTCCTTATAATTGTTACTACGATGTTTACCATAAAAAATGAAGTATGTTTTCTTAAAATTTGCAGCCAGTACGCGAAGCGCAAAATAAACAATACAGTTTGGGTTTGTTCGTCTCAAATCTCGTCTGTTCGGCACTTGCCTTACCCCTCACTACTGCGTCGTCCGTTTCGCCAGTCAACTAACAGTCCTACCCACCCCCTAAGGTGAAATTGCTCCTTACTTCGGCACCACCGAAAATTCAAATCTCATCGGAAAGAAGTAATCGGTAATGTTGAAAATTGCCGTGCGAAAAAGCTATTGTTTCACGTTGATCGTTTTTGTCCTTAAAAGGCAAGAAACGATCAAAAAAAGCAATACAAAACAATACCTATTGTTCTCGAATTCAGGTCGCTTTTCGTGATACGAAAATCGATTATCGTAACAGCTACCACTCTAAAAAAACAAGAATTTCAGCCGAGAAATACCGCCGTTATTATAAGGTGGACTGGCTTGACGATTTCTTTCTCTCGTCTCCAATTTCCTCGCCTTTCGTCGCGTTAGCCAGCGTTATTTAATGCCTCATTCAGTTTTTCTTCAAAAGTTGCGTACGTTTTTTAAAACAGTAACGGGTAACGAATCCTTGTTATTAGGTCGGTAGCGGCTTGAAATGTCATCATCTGACTAACAAACCTGAGGCCGACGGTGCACTCATTATACGGGTATTTTAAGATACTTAAAGTTGCGTGGAAAGGAAGAAAGTCGAAGCAAGGATTTGAGGTGACACTAGGGAATCGAACTCTTCTCGTAACCTCTCGCAAAGAGAAGGTTTTCTGTTTTGCCTTCATGGAGGCTTATTAAGTGACCGCTCTGTAACAGCGTTGATGTTGTCTTGTTTCAGCTGCAGTACGGTGAACCGGTGATACGCCGTGCAGTTCCATTGGCTCTGGCCCTCCTTTCAGCTTCTAATCCTCAACTAAGTATTATCGATACTCTCAGTAAGCTGTCTCATGACAACGATGCTGAAGTGGCACATAACTCTATCTTCGCCATGGGAATTGTAGGAGCAGGTACGTTTGTTACTGAAGCTTTATTGCCGGGGATTGAGGGGAGGAACTCCAGGAAAGTCTCAGTGGGTATACTCCACAAAATCTTACCCAATTGCACACCTGAACCACTGTTTCGAAGATAAGAGTGATAGAGCGATTTTCGTATGACCCTGAAATCGCGGGAACAAAACAGAAACAAACGGGCGGAAATAAAGCGATTTGATTGGTTTATCGAACGGATACAAACGCGTCTGGATTTTTGGTTGGTTAAGCGAACGCTCGGGTGAAAAAGCTTCATGCCCGAAAACTTTCTAGAAATCAATCGATACTTCTCTTTGACGTCATGCTGCAACACAAAAGGCCAATCGGACAATGCCTTCTCCATATTAGGGTTTCTTTGGCGGGAAGACGAAGAGGCCATGTTTTGATCTTTTTATCCATTGGCTGATCAAACAAATGACGAACACTCACCGAAACCATTTTTCAAGGACATGCGAAAATCGCTTTAAGAAAATACCCAGTTCAAGACTCTGGCTCAAAGCGCAAAACCTTACCCCATTTCAGACCAAAAAATGGCTAAAATCTATACCCCCCATCTCAGACTAAATAAAACGTAGGCGACTTTCCCCGCGCTCTATTCTAGATTCATTTTGTGGCGAACGAATCACTAATGATCAAAACCCAAAGAAACCAAAAACAGAAAATTTTGTATCTCCAAAGTAAGACTAAAATGCAATTTTAAAAATAGAATAACCCCATTCCTACCAAACGGTCTTTACCTCACTGAGTTGTAGTATCGAGTTTTAACATGCATCAATATTGTGTCCAAGGTAAATTTCGAGTTCATCTTTGTTGATAGTACTCTTTGAGCTTGACCTTCTCGTTTCAAAAACTATTAAACTTACAGTATAAACGTAGTGTGGCTCGTGACAGTGAATCTCAAGGAGAACGGGCATAACCGAAGATATTAATTTAGATTGCGAGCAGTCTCTTATTTTTCTTTTGAGTCACAGTAGATCGAGAGCGCGTGTGAGGGGCCGCGAGGAACGAGGGCGGAAGCCCGAGCGAAGAAAAATTAATATCTCCTCCTTTTTTTCTCTTGCCGTACGTGGCTCTGAGGAAAGAAAGACGACCGCTTGCGGTCTAATGTTAATTGTGTACAGCTATAAAATCTGAGATGTACAGTACACTTGCGTCCAGAGTTCAGATGATCTTTGTGTTACTTGGGAATACATATTTTCGCAGACAAATGATGCGGGTTGTTCTGTGAATTTGTTGTGCACAGGTACCAATAATGCCAGACTTGGTGGAATGTTACGGCAGCTGGCCATGTACTACCACAAGGATGCTAACAATCTGTTCATGGTGCGACTTGCACAGGTCAGAAGGGGTTAATTTTTAATAGACTTTTCACAGTCCCTTATTTTTCCGTAAGATCGTCGAGATCGAAAACTTTGCGTCCTGGGGGACCATCTTGGATGAGTGTCAATTCTACTGATGAAACCAAGATGGCCGCCCGTACCGATAAGCGCTTGATCCTGACGATCTGACGAAACAAAAGGGGACTGTGGACAGCGTAATTAAAAAACTTAGATAAACACAGTTGAGTGTGTTGGTGCTGCATCGGTTGGGCGTTTAAACCCTGAAGTTGAAATTTGCATACACCGCAGTAATTGTCCGTCCTTACACAATCAAAAACATCCGCATCTACGTACTATTTCAGCGCGCTCCTAACAGTGGCAATGCTCCGGGATGAAGTCCCGAGAAGCAACCACGACGGCGACGGCGACGGCATCGAAAGTGTATTCCCGTTATTTCACGCTTCATTCCCGGCGATTGTTCCAACTCGCGGCACAATTTGTCAAATGCTGGTGGATGTTCCTAAAGCTGTGTTTAAGTCCTCTACTAAACGTCACGCAAGAGAATTTGACATTTTAGTCGTCCTGTGACGGCCAAGAAATCATGGTTCCATAAAGTGTGATGCACGTGCAGAACTGTTGTTTTTCCTATAAAACCTGTTGCTTTTTCAAGTTCCCGTTGCCGTCGCTGTAATGTTTGCTTTCACTTCTCTATCACAACTCTTCCAATATCAGCAACTACATAAATGGGAATTTGAGAAATATGACCAACTTTGCTACACGACAACTTCGGTCAGTGCCTTTACATGGTGGCTGTGGGAAAAGATTTCCGTACCAACAATTTCTTTTTGCTGTTTATCGTCAGGGTTTAGTTCATCTTGGTAAAGGAACCCTTACACTTGGTCCTTATCACTGTGACCGTTCACTGATGATGCCAGTAGCTGTAGGTGGCCTCTTGTCTGTTCTCGTGTCATTCTTGGATGTCAAAAATGGTAAGTTACTCGTCTCGTTCCTAATAGGCCCTTTCTAGAGCTTGGTCACGTGCTTGGATACCGCAAAGCAACGGCTCGCTCGATGGCAAGCCATCCAGGCGTTCAGTCCGATCACAAAGCTTTTTGTGCGATCGAGCAACGCATTCCTAGTTTTTACAATTATTGTGTTGAAAATTAACCAAAATTACTGGACCAGAAGAGTTTAAAGACGTCATTGAATTAACCTTGGAAGGTTTTGCCCGATCACGCTCAAAGTTTTGTAATCTGAATGAACGCTTGTGTTATCCAACTACATGACCAGGTTCTGCAAAGGGCTAATTAAGGTGGTACTCTATGGGTAACCGTTTGGTGCGCTTCTAACCATTCTCGGAGTCAATTCGAACAGAAAGAATATTGAGATTTCACTTTTCATTGCTGATGTCTGTAACTTCTTAACGATACAATCTAAGTTGCTCTTGCACACTTGTGTTTTTCTTACTTCCGATCATCGAATTAAAAGTCTTCAGGAGACCATAATTATTATCATAAAGTTCCAGTAAAACGGGGGTACCTCATGACTGGCAGTGCGCAAAAGAAACTTTTTAACACATCACGAGAATCTCAGGCCACTGAAATGGAGCGATAATTTGAAGTTTCGTCAACTTTTCATACTCCAGCTGGTCACTTGATTAATAAAATACGTATCATTGCTTCTTTAATTATCCAAGAATTGTGCTTACCAGAAAGAGTAATTTCAATCACTTTCTAACCTAAGTAACCTAAGTTCTTCTTTCCACGCCCAGCTGGGCTTAACTTGAGAGCCACACCGAGCGTTTGCGAGACGTGTATCTCCAGTCTAACCTGAACTATTCTGACTGTATGTTTTTGCTGTCTTCAGTTATCCTCGGCAAATCGCATTATGTCCTGTTTAACTTGGTGTCAGCCATGCAGCCCAGAATGTTGGTCACATTTGACACGGACCTGCGACCTTTACCAGTTTCTGTTAGGGTTGGACAGGTAAGTGGTAGGCCTGTGGTGAAAGACGCCTAAAACAGACCGGGGGCGAGGGGGGAGGGGGGTGGGGTCCACTTTTCAAGATGCGGGGCCAGGACACTAAGATAGCCCACGAGCAAGTTCACTTTCCCTGGCGCGCTGACGTACAAGCGAGTCTGCTCGCAGCCTGGGTACCAGGATGACTGGTGTTATCTGAAACGTTGAGGCTCCCGACGTTAGAACGAAACCAGTGTTTGTCTCGACAAAAAAGGCTCTTTGGTTACGGCGAATATGCTTTTGTTGTTTTGCTCGGATAACACAGAACGACGCAAACAAAGAAGAAAATTAAGCAGTTATGCTCGATGGATGAGCGCGATTATCCTATCGTTAGCCATTAATTTAACAAATAACAGCGTGTCCACGCGGTCACAATTTTGGGCGCCCCATGTGATGCTCCCAGATTTTTTCGGTTTCGCTTAACTTCTTTGGCAAAGGTGAATGGAAAGTATGTTTTTCTTCCCTTATTCCCTGTCACATGCGAGTCTGTGTTGCAGCTCATGACAATGGCCTTTACCACGCTCATAACAAATTGCGCGTTTGACACTCTTTCACCCCCACACCCAACCCCAAGATCGCAGGCTAGGTAGCTCTCTCCCAACGAAAGGAACTGTGCTGCAAAAGTTAGGCAAATTGAGCCTGGTGTTACCTGGTCGCCCATTTGGGTGAAACATGAAAATAGTTGGGAGGAATATTTTGATGTAACAAAGCAAGGGCAAAATAAGGCATGGATAGGCCAGGATATGATTGCAAATAAATTTCAGCCTAAGAGTTTCTCAAAGTTCATGTCTCTTGATTGTAATTTTAGTTAAATCGTTCTGGGTACAAATTTGTTCTTCACAAAGCTATGATTTTTTTTTATTTACAAGTAAAATGTTCGTGAACGTTAAGCTCTTTTCCGAGTAAAGGCGAGAAAACAACAACAACAACAACAACAACAACAACAAGGGTTGCTTCTGCGTAACGGAACGTTTTATTCCCGTTACTGGTTTTGAACCTCATGACAAGGCGATCGTGTTTGGTAGAATTTGCGATCGTTTTTCGTAGAATTTGCTAGCCTGAGAAAACAACTTACATTTCGCGAAGCCGCCACTGCTTTCACCGCGAAACGACGTCTGAGGAATGAGCGCAAAAATTTATGCTGGTTGAAGCATTCCATTCCATGATTGGTTGATGTAAATTCCTCATTTGCTTTCATTGCCAAATTGCTGTTTTTTTCCCAGACATCATTTTTGGGGGAAATCAGTGCTGGCGTCGCGAAATGTCGGCTGTTTTCTCAGGCTAAGCGGAGGATGGACGCTTTTGTGCTTGTACACCAGCTTGCCCGACGTGAAGTCAGTTAAAAACACGCAATAGCAATTAGTTGGACGCTTTGTTCTATTTACATACATTGACACTTGACAGAAGATTTTATTTGACATCCGTTGGTGCCATTTCATTGTAGGCAGTCGATGTTGTTGGTCAAGCAGGAAAGCCAAAGACAATAACAGGATTTCAGACTCACACTACGCCAGTACTGCTGGCGTACGGAGAAAGAGCTGAGCTTGCAACTGAAGAATGTATCCTTTATATATACAATTTGCACTTTATTTTTCATCCCTTGAGGTTACTGAGTTTTCATTGATCTTAATGTTAACATTGTTGGATTTTTTGTTGTAGAAGCAGTTCAAGTTGTCCCTTTGAACCACTACATCTGGTCCCTAATTTTATTCTTAGTCTTAAATCCTCCATCATTTAAAATCTTATTCTTCACGTATTGATTCCTTTCTTTCAGAGAATCGCTATTTAAGTTAGCGCTTCGATATTGAGTACAGTGAAACAGTGAACGCGATAACACGTTTGTAATTTGTTTTTTTTTTTAATAAGGCTGTTATTCTTCCTTAACCTTCATTAATAGATATTTCCCTCGCACCAATTATGGAAGGTTTCGTCATCTTAAAAAAGAACCCTGAATACGAGAAATCAGAGTCTTGAGGTTGTGAAGAACATCAAGTCTGTAAATACGTTGCGCACCTCTCTCGATACTAACCACCGTACCGTCTTTGTTGGACTGGATCGCCTTGTTTCGGAGTAGTTAAAAACTAAAACTTTTTTAGTTCTCATGCAGGCAGATTTGAAACCGAGTGTTACCGAGACAAGACCTAATAATTTAGCAAATAAAATTCTTTACAATATGTTGATTCTTGTTTTCCTTCTTTGAGTTGTTCCTTCTTTCAGTTGGAAAGAAAAGCTTCTTTGACACAAAATTGTATTTGCGCTGTGGGGTAGTTATTACTGTACGACTATTTAGAAAACAAAATGATCAAATTGTTCCCCAGTGTCCTTTGTTTGGACAATCTCAGCCTCGCTAGTGAGCTGGATTTCGATATATCGAAAGACCCGGTTCATTAGAATAGGGGAACTTGATTTTTTTTTGTCTGTCTCGAAATTAGTTGATATCTATTTCATTTGCGGAATGTTACACTCGTGCTATACAGAGGAATTTCTTCTAAACAACTGATAAATGTGGGCGAAGTCCTGCCCCCTAAAAAGTAGTGAACACTTTTTTTTTTAATGAGCAAAAGTCATATTAAAAGATAATCGCATTTTTCTTATACCTGATGACGCTGTTGCTCGAAATTTAATTATTATTTTTAATTTCAGCAATCAAAGGCCTCATTCGAACTATAATTTTCTCTCTAACGTTTATAGTTTTCATACAATTAATGGAATTTTCCATGCTAACTTGCTCATATTTACCAACAAAGCTTCAGGCCATGTTGTTATTGTTTAATGGAAGTGAAAGCCTAGAATGTGCCAAAGTTGTTGTTTTAAAGTTGGGAGCCATCCTTTTCTATAGCGGAATCCATTTTCAACCTCTAAAGTTATGAAAGAAATCGCGGAGATCTCAATAGGCACATTCCACCAAAGATAAACGAATTCGCCTCTTTGGCACTTTCCAGAAGGTGCCCCTAGTTGTAAACATTAAAATTCCCGATGGGCAATGGCTCTGATGTTGCACCACTCACTGTGACACGTTGTCGGCGGTCCGTGAGGTATGATTTGAACTACTGAAGAAGGTTTCCTCCGAAGCCAAACTTGCGCAGCTTGCTTAACAGGTGATGGTGACAGACCTTATCAAAGGCTTTAGACATGTCCATGTATACCATGTCAATTTGACCACCTTTGTCGAGTAGGGCGCCAGTGTGATAAAGAACTTCTAATAGGTTGGAGATGCATGATTTCCTATGCAGAAACCCATATTGAAACGCCTTTTCTTTTGAAAGGTTTAGTTAAAGACGGACTGACTCAGGTGATTTACTTAATCTCTTTATCCATCCAATGGCAACGCAGAATGAAAGAAATTTAAACACTGTACGAGGCTAAGCAACAGCGAACTATAAGAACAGTAAGTAATATATCAAACATGAGATGCAGTGTTTCATCTGGTAAGATGCATGTTTGATTGAAGGCAAAGCTGAGAAGTAACATTTCTTCAACACATCAACCCATTCACACCTGAGCTGCCCCTAACCACCCTTGTCGAATTCCCTTTTCCTGCTTTTGACGTTGTTTGAAAATCCGTAAATAACTTTGGCACCCAACTTCTGCTGGGTTGGAGGGGAGGGGGTGGGGAAAGAGTTTTCAATTTCAAACCGTATCCCAATAAGCATGATTCAATCCAACAGACCTAAAAAAGGGCAGGAAAAAAATTGCAAAGTACTTCCTTTAAAATAATTTCATGATCATTGGGTTCTTCGTGAAAACGTTTCGTATCGAAATGAAACAAAGTAAATCCCCAGCAAAGAAAAGGTAAGGAGAAAGAGAAGAAAGAGGCGGGAAGGTGAGAAGGCGCGGTTAAACATCTAGGAGGCAGTGTCACTTTTACATCTCGAAACTTGGCCTTCCGCGCATGTAATTTAGCATCAAGAACAGAAGGCAGCGAAGTACTCTACTTGTACTCTACCGCGGCAGGATAAACTCAGTCAGTAGAGTGCTTGACTGTAGAACGGTTTCGATTGCCGGGGCCGGACAGATACTCAAGGTCTTAAGATTATTGAGAAATGAAAGTACAGCCTTTGCCCTGCAAAGTTCGAGACTATAAATAACGTTTTCGGACTTTTTTGGTTCATTTTTGTGCAGATAGTGACCAGAAAGCCGCTCGAACAGCTTCAAACGCAGCTCTTGCGGCAAAGGAGAAATTTTATGGTCACTGATAGCATCGCGTTTCTAAATCCTTTCTGTTTCGAGTTTAGGATTAACAGTAATTCGCTAACACGCAGTGTTTGTGACTTTGTCACTACCCTTGACGTTGCAGTTGAAGCTTTTGGTTTGTGTTTTCAGGGAAACAAGAAGCAGCAGAAGCTACTCTAGAGGCTCTGAAAGTCGTACCTGAACCGCTTGGAAAGTGGGCTTCTATCTTGGTGGAAATCTGTGCTTACGCTGGTGAGTCTCACCCATTTAAGTTGTTTTGAAAAATCGATAAATTGTACACAAATTGTTGAATTGACTAACTTACTTGTGGAGGAAAGTTTCATAATTCATAACACAGGAGAACGTTTAAACTGTTTTTTTTGTTTTTGTTTGTGTGTTTGTTTTTTTAAAGTTAACGTGGAACGTATTTTAAGGACCCTCAAAACTGAGCCATTATAATTCACTTTCCAAGTTCAGGGTCAGATTGTAACTTTGTTTCGGGTGTGTCCTCCTAGCCTGTGTAGCAAGCGTCAGCAAAGAAAGACCGAGGAACGGGATTTTCGGTTCTGGCCGCGCGAAAAACTCGTTCCTCGTTCCTTGCTCCGAAACCAAACGGAAACGCCAAACTTGTAAATCACTGTTGTTTGAAGGTACTGGAAACGTTCTGAAAATCCAAGAGATGCTACACATCTGCAGTGAACACTTTGAACAGAAGGACGAAGAAGAGAAGGAGAAAGATTCCAAAGATAAAGACAAAGATAAAGATAAGAAGGCTGAGAAGTCAGATGATGGCAGTCATCAGGGTGTGGCAGTGTTAGGTATCGCTTTAATGGCCATGGGTGAGGAGATTGGTGCTCAGATGGTGCTCAGAACATGTAATCATTTGGTATGTATCCAGGACAAGTCACCCTTTAAAACTTTTCTATCGTCTTATTTTGCTTGTCAAAAACAACAACAATCATAAAACGTCTCATACCTCTCTTTTGCGCACCAATTCAAGCTCTGTTGGATTGTTGATAGTATTCTTTGACCTTATTAAACTTTAATAAGGTCAAAGAATACTATCAGCAAGGAACGCGGGGCCATAAAAGCGTATTTTAAACTTCGTGGGCAGTGGGGTGAAAGGAAGTGCGATTTTTTCAGTCTTTTGTTTGCTGTTCCCTTTCAGTGTTTCGATCGTCATCTGAAAATTGTCTTTTTATAGATTTAAATCACACAAGTAAACAGCGCGTTCATGTTAGAGAACTTACGCACCAAGCGCGAGAATTTTGCTTGAAAAATGCAATAAATTATTTCAGCAAGGGTCGGGGGCATAGAACCGTCTTTTAAACTTCGTGGGCAGTGAGGTGAAAGGAGGTGCGATTTTTTCAGTCTTTTGTTTGCTGTTCCTTTTCAATATATTAATCGTCATCTGAAAATGAGCTTTCTTTTGTTTGATTTAAATCACACAAGTAAACAGCGCGTTCATATTAGAGAAGTTACGCTCCAAGCGCGAGAATTTTGCTTGAAGAGAGCAATAAATTATATCAGTTTAAAAGGGTCGGGGGCACAGAACCGTGTTTTAAGCCTCGCTGGCAGTGAGGTGAAAGGTGTTATTTTGTTCCTTTATTGTTTACTTACGCTCTTCAATGCATTCAATGGGATGTGATTTTTATTCAAAGAAGTTAATTCTTGTTCAAACAAACGACTGTAAAATATAACCGTCATTTACATGAAGAATAAAATTTCCTGGCGCAGAATTCAAACAGTGCCAACTCGGCAACAGAATATAAGCAAGCTGTTAAAACCACTGATCAGAGCGCCGCGCTCAAACCACCTCCTTCGATTCAATCCGTGGTTAAAGTTCCTTATAATTGTTACTACGATGTTTACCATAAAAAATGAAGTATGTTTTCTTAAAATTTGCAGCCAGTACGCGAAGCGCAAAATAAACAATACAGTTTGGGTTTGTTCGTCTCAAATCTCGTCTGTTCGGCACTTGCCTTACCCCTCACTACTGCGTCGTCCGTTTCGCCAGTCAACTAACAGTCCTACCCACCCCCTAAGGTGAAATTGCTCCTTACTTCGGCACCACCGAAAATTCAAATCTCATCGGAAAGAAGTAATCGGTAATGTTGAAAATTGCCGTGCGAAAAAGCTATTGTTTCACGTTGATCGTTTTTGTCCTTAAAAGGCAAGAAACGATCAAAAAAAGCAATACAAAACAATACCTATTGTTCTCGAATTCAGGTCGCTTTTCGTGATACGAAAATCGATTATCGTAACAGCTACCACTCTAAAAAAACAAGAATTTCAGCCGAGAAATACCGCCGTTATTATAAGGTGGACTGGCTTGACGATTTCTTTCTCTCGTCTCCAATTTCCTCGCCTTTCGTCGCGTTAGCCAGCGTTATTTAATGCCTCATTCAGTTTTTCTTCAAAAGTTGCGTACGTTTTTTAAAACAGTAACGGGTAACGAATCCTTGTTATTAGGTCGGTAGCGGCTTGAAATGTCATCATCTGACTAACAAACCTGAGGCCGACGGTGCACTCATTATACGGGTATTTTAAGATACTTAAAGTTGCGTGGAAAGGAAGAAAGTCGAAGCAAGGATTTGAGGTGACACTAGGGAATCGAACTCTTCTCGTAACCTCTCGCAAAGAGAAGGTTTTCTGTTTTGCCTTCATGGAGGCTTATTAAGTGACCGCTCTGTAACAGCGTTGATGTTGTCTTGTTTCAGCTGCAGTACGGTGAACCGGTGATACGCCGTGCAGTTCCATTGGCTCTGGCCCTCCTTTCAGCTTCTAATCCTCAACTAAGTATTATCGATACTCTCAGTAAGCTGTCTCATGACAACGATGCTGAAGTGGCACATAACTCTATCTTCGCCATGGGAATTGTAGGAGCAGGTACGTTTGTTACTGAAGCTTTATTGCCGGGGATTGAGGGGAGGAACTCCAGGAAAGTCTCAGTGGGTATACTCCACAAAATCTTACCCAATTGCACACCTGAACCACTGTTTCGAAGATAAGAGTGATAGAGCGATTTTCGTATGACCCTGAAATCGCGGGAACAAAACAGAAACAAACGGGCGGAAATAAAGCGATTTGATTGGTTTATCGAACGGATACAAACGCGTCTGGATTTTTGGTTGGTTAAGCGAACGCTCGGGTGAAAAAGCTTCATGCCCGAAAACTTTCTAGAAATCAATCGATACTTCTCTTTGACGTCATGCTGCAACACAAAAGGCCAATCGGACAATGCCTTCTCCATATTAGGGTTTCTTTGGCGGGAAGACGAAGAGGCCATGTTTTGATCTTTTTATCCATTGGCTGATCAAACAAATGACGAACACTCACCGAAACCATTTTTCAAGGACATGCGAAAATCGCTTTAAGAAAATACCCAGTTCAAGACTCTGGCTCAAAGCGCAAAACCTTACCCCATTTCAGACCAAAAAATGGCTAAAATCTATACCCCCCATCTCAGACTAAATAAAACGTAGGCGACTTTCCCCGCGCTCTATTCTAGATTCATTTTGTGGCGAACGAATCACTAATGATCAAAACCCAAAGAAACCAAAAACAGAAAATTTTGTATCTCCAAAGTAAGACTAAAATGCAATTTTAAAAATAGAATAACCCCATTCCTACCAAACGGTCTTTACCTCACTGAGTTGTAGTATCGAGTTTTAACATGCATCAATATTGTGTCCAAGGTAAATTTCGAGTTCATCTTTGTTGATAGTACTCTTTGAGCTTGACCTTCTCGTTTCAAAAACTATTAAACTTACAGTATAAACGTAGTGTGGCTCGTGACAGTGAATCTCAAGGAGAACGGGCATAACCGAAGATATTAATTTAGATTGCGAGCAGTCTCTTATTTTTCTTTTGAGTCACAGTAGATCGAGAGCGCGTGTGAGGGGCCGCGAGGAACGAGGGCGGAAGCCCGAGCGAAGAAAAATTAATATCTCCTCCTTTTTTTCTCTTGCCGTACGTGGCTCTGAGGAAAGAAAGACGACCGCTTGCGGTCTAATGTTAATTGTGTACAGCTATAAAATCTGAGATGTACAGTACACTTGCGTCCAGAGTTCAGATGATCTTTGTGTTACTTGGGAATACATATTTTCGCAGACAAATGATGCGGGTTGTTCTGTGAATTTGTTGTGCACAGGTACCAATAATGCCAGACTTGGTGGAATGTTACGGCAGCTGGCCATGTACTACCACAAGGATGCTAACAATCTGTTCATGGTGCGACTTGCACAGGTCAGAAGGGGTTAATTTTTAATAGACTTTTCACAGTCCCTTATTTTTCCGTAAGATCGTCGAGATCGAAAACTTTGCGTCCTGGGGGACCATCTTGGATGAGTGTCAATTCTACTGATGAAACCAAGATGGCCGCCCGTACCGATAAGCGCTTGATCCTGACGATCTGACGAAACAAAAGGGGACTGTGGACAGCGTAATTAAAAAACTTAGATAAACACAGTTGAGTGTGTTGGTGCTGCATCGGTTGGGCGTTTAAACCCTGAAGTTGAAATTTGCATACACCGCAGTAATTGTCCGTCCTTACACAATCAAAAACATCCGCATCTACGTACTATTTCAGCGCGCTCCTAACAGTGGCAATGCTCCGGGATGAAGTCCCGAGAAGCAACCACGACGGCGACGGCGACGGCATCGAAAGTGTATTCCCGTTATTTCACGCTTCATTCCCGGCGATTGTTCCAACTCGCGGCACAATTTGTCAAATGCTGGTGGATGTTCCTAAAGCTGTGTTTAAGTCCTCTACTAAACGTCACGCAAGAGAATTTGACATTTTAGTCGTCCTGTGACGGCCAAGAAATCATGGTTCCATAAAGTGTGATGCACGTGCAGAACTGTTGTTTTTCCTATAAAACCTGTTGCTTTTTCAAGTTCCCGTTGCCGTCGCTGTAATGTTTGCTTTCACTTCTCTATCACAACTCTTCCAATATCAGCAACTACATAAATGGGAATTTGAGAAATATGACCAACTTTGCTACACGACAACTTCGGTCAGTGCCTTTACATGGTGGCTGTGGGAAAAGATTTCCGTACCAACAATTTCTTTTTGCTGTTTATCGTCAGGGTTTAGTTCATCTTGGTAAAGGAACCCTTACACTTGGTCCTTATCACTGTGACCGTTCACTGATGATGCCAGTAGCTGTAGGTGGCCTCTTGTCTGTTCTCGTGTCATTCTTGGATGTCAAAAATGGTAAGTTACTCGTCTCGTTCCTAATAGGCCCTTTCTAGAGCTTGGTCACGTGCTTGGATACCGCAAAGCAACGGCTCGCTCGATGGCAAGCCATCCAGGCGTTCAGTCCGATCACAAAGCTTTTTGTGCGATCGAGCAACGCATTCCTAGTTTTTACAATTATTGTGTTGAAAATTAACCAAAATTACTGGACCAGAAGAGTTTAAAGACGTCATTGAATTAACCTTGGAAGGTTTTGCCCGATCACGCTCAAAGTTTTGTAATCTGAATGAACGCTTGTGTTATCCAACTACATGACCAGGTTCTGCAAAGGGCTAATTAAGGTGGTACTCTATGGGTAACCGTTTGGTGCGCTTCTAACCATTCTCGGAGTCAATTCGAACAGAAAGAATATTGAGATTTCACTTTTCATTGCTGATGTCTGTAACTTCTTAACGATACAATCTAAGTTGCTCTTGCACACTTGTGTTTTTCTTACTTCCGATCATCGAATTAAAAGTCTTCAGGAGACCATAATTATTATCATAAAGTTCCAGTAAAACGGGGGTACCTCATGACTGGCAGTGCGCAAAAGAAACTTTTTAACACATCACGAGAATCTCAGGCCACTGAAATGGAGCGATAATTTGAAGTTTCGTCAACTTTTCATACTCCAGCTGGTCACTTGATTAATAAAATACGTATCATTGCTTCTTTAATTATCCAAGAATTGTGCTTACCAGAAAGAGTAATTTCAATCACTTTCTAACCTAAGTAACCTAAGTTCTTCTTTCCACGCCCAGCTGGGCTTAACTTGAGAGCCACACCGAGCGTTTGCGAGACGTGTATCTCCAGTCTAACCTGAACTATTCTGACTGTATGTTTTTGCTGTCTTCAGTTATCCTCGGCAAATCGCATTATGTCCTGTTTAACTTGGTGTCAGCCATGCAGCCCAGAATGTTGGTCACATTTGACACGGACCTGCGACCTTTACCAGTTTCTGTTAGGGTTGGACAGGTAAGTGGTAGGCCTGTGGTGAAAGACGCCTAAAACAGACCGGGGGCGGGGGGGGTGGGGGGTGGGGTCCACTTTTCAAGATGCGGGGCCAGGACACTAAGATAGCCCACGAGCAAGTTCACTTTCCCTGGCGCGCTGACGTACAAGCGAGTCTGCTCGCAGCCTGGGTACCAGGATGACTGGTGTTATCTGAAACGTTGAGGCTCCCGACGTTAGAACGAAACCAGTGTTTGTCTCGACAAAAAAGGCTCTTTGGTTACGGCGAATATGCTTTTGTTGTTTTGCTCGGATAACACAGAACGACGCAAACAAAGAAGAAAATTAAGCAGTTATGCTCGATGGATGAGCGCGATTATCCTATCGTTAGCCATTAATTTAACAAATAACAGCGTGTCCACGCGGTCACAATTTTGGGCGCCCCATGTGATGCTCCCAGATTTTTTCGGTTTCGCTTAACTTCTTTGGCAAAGGTGAATGGAAAGTATGTTTTTCTTCCCTTATTCCCTGTCACATGCGAGTCTGTGTTGCAGCTCATGACAATGGCCTTTACCACGCTCATAACAAATTGCGCGTTTGACACTCTTTCACCCCCACACCCAACCCCAAGATCGCAGGCTAGGTAGCTCTCTCCCAACGAAAGGAACTGTGCTGCAAAAGTTAGGCAAATTGAGCCTGGTGTTACCTGGTCGCCCATTTGGGTGAAACATGAAAATAGTTGGGAGGAATATTTTGATGTAACAAAGCAAGGGCAAAATAAGGCATGGATAGGCCAGGATATGATTGCAAATAAATTTCAGCCTAAGAGTTTCTCAAAGTTCATGTCTCTTGATTGTAATTTTAGTTAAATCGTTCTGGGTACAAATTTGTTCTTCACAAAGCTATGATTTTTTTTTATTTACAAGTAAAATGTTCGTGAACGTTAAGCTCTTTTCCGAGTAAAGGCGAGAAAACAACAACAACAACAACAACAACAACAACAAGGGTTGCTTCTGCGTAACGGAACGTTTTATTCCCGTTACTGGTTTTGAACCTCATGACAAGGCGATCGTGTTTGGTAGAATTTGCGATCGTTTTTCGTAGAATTTGCTAGCCTGAGAAAACAACTTACATTTCGCGAAGCCGCCACTGCTTTCACCGCGAAACGACGTCTGAGGAATGAGCGCAAAAATTTATGCTGGTTGAAGCATTCCATTCCATGATTGGTTGATGTAAATTCCTCATTTGCTTTCATTGCCAAATTGCTGTTTTTTTCCCAGACATCATTTTTGGGGGAAATCAGTGCTGGCGTCGCGAAATGTCGGCTGTTTTCTCAGGCTAAGCGGAGGATGGACGCTTTTGTGCTTGTACACCAGCTTGCCCGACGTGAAGTCAGTTAAAAACACGCAATAGCAATTAGTTGGACGCTTTGTTCTATTTACATACATTGACACTTGACAGAAGATTTTATTTGACATCCG